GTCAGATTAACCAGTGTCCCTCATTCCCTCTGTACAACATACAGCATAATGCTGTGGCACACCGAGCACAAGAGACCTGAGCTTACTCTGCAGTATGTCCGAGCATTCTTACGCCCAAGACGGGGACTGCACGCTCATAAGTCAGTTGGATTTTCCTCAAACCTGCTTATGTCATGTGTATTCATTTTTGTAATTAAGTAATTGTATTAAACATTGCAAAATCAAATAAGGTGTTATTGTGAATATGAAAGTATTTAATGAAAATGAATAATCGAATGCTTGAGACATACTTAATTACAAGTTGCTAAAAATTGTTGTGGAATAAGGTATGAGCCAGGCCACTATAAAAGGGTAGGAGGAAATGTCATAAAATTTTGAATAATTTTCTATTCATATTTGACATGAGTCTAATTTTCACTCCACATTAAAAAAGATAAAATTGTAATTAATACATGATGCATGCAAGAAACACTTTGACTTCAAGTAACACAAACTCGAAGTAAAGCTCTTGGCTTTATATCCAAAGGTTGATGAATAAAAGTCCATCTGTATGATTTAAGTTAAAGTAAAATGGATAAGTTTTACATACATAAATACATACTAAGTAGTATGTAGTTTATGCTTTGCATCGCAGGGCTTTCTTTCTTTTCTTTTTTTAAAAATCAATGATACCAGTTAGAAAATGTCCTTCTTCCCCAAACAACCAAAATGAATGAATGAATAAATAATAAAACACCAGTGAATAAACTTAATAAACACAAGCAGGACTATCAGAAGAAAACTACTAAGCTTTGCACCTATGTACCTGCGTGGAAAAACTCAATATCTGGGTGTTAATTGACTCTGAAACAATGTATGAATTCCATGCAATTCCTATCAAAATCCCTAGAAGAACAAACAAGTGAAAAGAAAAAAGAATGTTAAAAAAGAAAGTGCTACAGTGGAGGGAAATTTGTGTCACAAGACATTAAAATATACCACAAATAATTATATGTTATTATGTCATAAATCAAAATGGCATTTTTAGAGCAGCAGAGACCCAGCACAATAGAACAGAATCGGTAATAATACCTACCTCTGTTGTGCCTATTGCATCAGACATTAGTCTATACACTTTGCATTTATTAAGTCATTTCATAACAGCCCTCCATAGAAGGGCTCTTATAACTGTTTTGCAGAGGAAGAAATTGAGGCACAGAGAGGTTAAGTAACTTATACAGCTAGTAAGTGTTGGAGTGGAAATTTAAACATAGGCAGGCCGGCTCCAGAGTCCCTTGCCTTAATCACTTTATTATATTGTCTCTGTCTATTATGTGCATCAGTTCAAGTATCTGTAAAAGGGAACTGAAAATACACTTTCCACCTTTCTCAAGTTGTTGTGAGACTTGAACAAGTTATTCCGTGAAATTATTTAGAATAGTCCTGGCACAGAGTACACACTCAAAGTGCAGTATATTAATTATTTTCACTATTTCAAATCAAGTAGAAAGGATCAATTTCCTAACAGGGCATTAGGACAATGGGCTAATCATTTTTGAAGTTAACTGCCCAGTGCACGGAAATCAAAATTTATTTCTGATGGACCTTACATTCAAACATTTAAAAAAGTGATAGAAAATTAGAAAATAGAGTAGATACGTATTTTTTTGGATCTCAGAGTAGATAAACATTTACAACCAGATGAGCAAAGGGCAGAGTACATAATATTGATATTTCGACATAATAAGAATTTAGAAAGTTTCATGGGTCAAAATCAAAATAAAAAATTTATGTAGCAAATTAACTTTTACAGTTCAGCAAAAATAAACCTATCATTAGAAAAACAAATAATAGAAATTCAAAAAAGAAATATGCAAAAGTAAAAAATATAAAAATCTATTTTATTAGTATTCAAATAAACATAAAATTAAACAAAATGAGATATAATTTTCTGTTTACTAACTGATAGTAATTGAAAAAAATAATTTCTGGTGTTAAGGTTGCAAAGAGAGATATATTCCCAAATATGCTAGTGGAAGTATAAATTGCTGCAAAAATTTGTGGAGTGCAATTTGGTGATGTAATGAAAGACTTGCAGAAATCCATATAGTTTGATTCAGCAATATTGGTTTTAGAAATTTATTGTTATAAACTAACCATGTGCATAAAATTGTTGACTGGAATGTTCATCACAGTTCTCAATATAATGGTAAAAAATTATATCAGACTAAGTATCAATAATAGGAGAATGTTTAATTGTGGTTTATTCATTTGATGGAACTGTGTGCAATTGTTTAAAATTACATTGTGCAAAAGTATTTAATAAGGTTGAGAAGACTCATAAAAAACAGATTATAAAACAGCATTATACTATGCTTTAATTAAACAAATTATATCTGTTTATAAAAAGTGGACCATACCTCACAACATTAATAGTGAATATTACGAGGTGGTTGGAATTGTGGAACTTTTGGCTTATGGCTGATGCTCTTCTATACTTACATATTAACAATGAACATACATAATTTTGTAATCATATAATGAAGTAAAAGTCTTCCTTTATTCTTTGGTATTTCAATCAGTGTTGGGAGGGAAGGAGAGTAGTGCATCCATCATATGGATTTTGTAGTTATTAGATCTGCGTTTGAAAACTACTCTTCTCATTTGTTA